CATCCAGGACTCTTCTCTTTGGCTATGTTCTTCTCACTCTTCATTCCATTCCACTTCTATCTGGGTGCCAATTCTTTGACTTTGTGAAACATTTCTCAATTCTGGTTTAATACCTTGAACCTGATACCTGAATTCATCTATTCCTACCCTGGTTCTCTAAATAACTCAGCTTGTTTCCAGTTCTAGTAATTTGAAGCCAAACACCTTTCTCATGACACAAGCACCCCTTCCATGCCTTCTACTCCATAGACACAAGTCTCAGACTTCTGCCAAACCCACTCCAGTCCTCTGAAATCCTTGGCCTACAACAGTTAGAAGATAACCTTGTTTCTTGGCAACCACAGGCCCAGGGCAACCATGCTCCCTTTGAAAACTAATACATTGATAGTCTTCTTTGTAAGTTAGCATTACTATGCTTGGTCATGAGTCAGTATTCTAGGGCATACAGGTGACCTCACTAAGACAGAGCCACACAATGAGATCTAGCCTTAAAAAGCCAGACAGATCGCCTTACTAGTAAAGGAAGAATTTAGGGAGTTGGAGGCAAAACTGAGTAAGTGGGGAGCAGAAGTTGCAGCTATGAAATGGGTAACACAAAAACTAAGTAAGAATGCTAGTGGGAATATTCCTTTCAGTACCAAACTTCTTTCCTAGCTCATATTTTGGAGGCTGATCATGATTCTTGTTACCTATCTTGGGAAATGTTTGCATTTTAGCAGATGCCCCTGATGTCTTAATCCAAAGGAGTGATAAAGTAAGGCAATGGGTACAATGGCAGGCAGAATTTTTAAAGAATGGCCCGACAGAATATCTCAACTCCAAGATGTAAGTAAGCAACTGCTCACAAAAGTCAGCTATATTACTGCACATCTGAAAATAAAAGATAAAACATCATATCTTCAAAATTAAAAGGTAAGGCATTAAGACTTCCTTCTCAGGAGGGGAAAAGAGAGGCCAAGAAACAAGCAATTTCACTTGAAATGAAAGGTTCCTACATTTGACTAGTAAGTTTGCACTTTGAGACATTTTATGTCCTGAACAAACATGTATGTTATGGACTGAACTGCGTCCCTCCAAAATTCATATGTTGAGGCCCTAACCCTCACCGTGATGGTATTTGGAGGTGGGGCTTTGGGGAAGTAACTAGGTTTAGATGTGGTTATAAGGGTGGGGCCTCCCATGATGGGATTAATAGCCTTTTAAGAAGAAGAAAGACCAGAGTTCTCTCTCTCTCTCTCTCTCTCTGTTTCTCTCTCTCCCTCCCTCACCCATGTGAGGACACAGCAAGAAGGTGGTTGTCTGCAAGTCAGGAAGAGAGTCCTCACCAGGGAACCAAATGGGCTGGCACCTTGATCTTGGATTTCCCAAAACTGTGAAAAATAAATTCCTATTTTCTAAGCCATCCAGTCTGCAGTATTTTCTTATGTGGGCCTGAGCTGACTAATACAACGTATATCTTTTAAATTAAACAAAAATCAATGATCTATTCACATGATCTTAACACTCATTGACAAAAATCTATCGCTGGGCTTGGATCACTTATCCAGTGATGTTACTTGAGTGATACAGCCTTCAAGGGGATATTCGGCTTAGAAGAAATCTGATTAAATAATAAGCTATGAAGATTAGGTCATTCACTTGGAAGCCAGGGAGCAGGGCAAGAGCTAAGCTGGAGTGTCCATGGTCAGAAGGCAAGTCTAGAAAACCACTGGATCAACACCAAAGGCTAGAGTTGGAGAGTTAGAAGAAAATAGTGCCTGGAGCCTTTGGGTCAAATAGGCCAGATGAGACTTACACAGGAAGACAACCCCATGGCCCGTTTATTCTCACATTCCTCTTCTCCAGCAGAAAAAGATCTAGAGATAATAAATGTTATTGTATAAACAAAGCTGGGAATGGGTTGTAAGAGAAGTATGAATGTTAAACAATAACATATACAAATATGTCTTAAAGCCTAGGTAGTAGAAAATCATAAGCCAAAAGTTCTGTTGAACAAAATGTGCATTATAACACACACTGTAGGGCTAACCCAACAACCACAGCAAACTCAACTTAGGGAGTAATTTTTCACGAAAAACAAAAATAGCAGCAATTAAAAACTATGACCAGCTTAAGACAATATGGATGATGTGCTGGACACAAAACATCCTTCCTCCAAGTTGTACAAATTCCAACTACAACTTGCTTGTGGGCATGCACAGTAGAGTCCTGCAAAGCACCACACGCTTTGTGGCAGGACTTCTCAGAAAAATCTGTGCCTGCAGGAAACCACGGCCATGAGCTAATTTTAGTTTATAAATACTAAATTTTAGTAACTCTCAAACTCAGTCAGTAGGTAACTGCTAATAAGCAGCTTAAATATAAATGGAATACTCTGGAATTGTGAGTCATTCAGTAAGCACCATATAAAGGACGTGCATTTGACGGAGTTTGGGGTTTACCAGGAGGAATCCATTGCACGTTTGAGAACTACTGGCTTCTGGGTGGGGGCAGTGCTGCCAGTTGAGCTAGATTAGCTGGGCTGCTGGCTTAGCCTGCTGCCCATGATCCACAGGGTGTTCAGGGGTCCTCACCACTCTCCACTAAATAACTCATTGTTATCCTGTGGCAGTTGCCTGGCAATCCCAGTGGAGTCTGACCACCCCATGCTGCTGCTCCTGTCTCCTTCTTAGGACAGATAAATGATATTTCAGGCCACACCATTCCTGGACTACAGCTCTCTCACATGCAGCCTTTCTATAAATAGAGCATGATGATTTAGGAGATAATGTTAAGAAATAAGAGTCAAATTTTGGCCACTATATATGACATATACATGAGAAAAATTTTGTTTTTATGCCAATTTCTAGGTGTAATACTTAAAAATTTTAAACATAATAGCTTATTCTAACAGAGCTTTAAAAGTATGGGTTCAAAACAGAGTGGTATCTGTTCTTCAAGGATGGCAGGTATGGGCATTAATAAAGTATGCTAAGAATATAAACCTTTTGAATATTAATTTCTAAATTATGCATTTACTTGAAGGATTAAAAATCCTGAGCAAATTTAGCACTGATAAATGTGGACAACTGTTCCCTTTAGCTAAGCTAGGATGTATGGATCTTCGGCCTCTTACAAAAGACTATTTAAGCCAGATAACATATTTTACAAGTTGAAACATTCATTTTTTACTTGCATGCAGCAACATTTAACAAGTACTTGAAGAGACAAAAGCTCTAATAATAGGAAGTGATAACAGGATAGTTTACAGTATATCCTAACACCTGTTTATGGTATATTTTACATCATGCAGTCAAAAGGAACAGAGCATATAAACACATATCAGAAATCCTACGGTAATTTTCATTTCTAGGGAAACAGCGAAGGCTATAAACAAAATGAACTACATTGCCAGGCCTTCACATACTCCTAACAAAAGTTTACAGTTTCCTGCAAAAGAAACATACCAGCTGCTTCAGGATGTGGGTAAGACAAACATGTTCCTGTGGTAATGATTTCTCAAACAAGAAAAAAAGTTATAAGACAAATCTTTGCTAAGCTGCAGACTACCAGATCTTCTGATTTAGGAGAGCAACAAGCATAGACAGAGCTGTTTAAGAAATAATTTAGAAATAAATATCCCATGAATCAGCAAAATCTGTCAAATAAAATGCTTTTTAATTTACAATGGAAAGCAATACCTTCACATATTTTGATACTGTAGAGCATTTTATTATGTAGCATTATACTCTAGGTGGACAACTAAAAGTATAATGTAAAAGTAAATTCTACAACCATACAAAGTAAATACGCACATCCCAGAAGGTTCTAGTCAATCCTTAATAAATGATAATTCTTTTAGTAATACAGATACCGATTCATCCAATTAAAATACGGTACACATTTAGTTTCTCATAATCGCATTTTCTTTCCTTATCTTTTTATCATAAGCTTATCGTCTTTCACTGTTTACATATTAGTACTATTTTACACTGTGCCCTGTTCATTGTCATTCATTCATTTTGTTCATGCATCCTTTCAACATTTATTGAGTATTTGCTAAATAACAGCAAGTGATTGGGTCCAATCATCTTTCCTCCTCTTTTTTTCATGTTGTACTTCCTACCTTTCTGGAACTCATTCAATAATATTTCTAATAATAAAAAAGCCTCATTCTTCACTCCATTGTTGTTGTCTACCCAGAACTTCTGTCTAATACCTATTAATTTCACATCTTTCCTCTTAAAGGTGAGATGAAGTGGGGTAGGGAGAGCAGTGTGGCAAGGGAAGAAATTAGTATGCATTATTTGCATCCAACACGCAGTGCACTTGGCTAAGCGTTTAATACATATTATCTTAATAAATTTCACAACAAAATAAGTAGGTAGATTATTATCCCCAATTCATAGATTGGGAAACCGAGTCCTTTAGCACTTGAGGAACTGGGTGCCTAAGGTCTCAGAGCTGGAAGGTGGCAGTGCCAATAATGGGACCTCGCTCTGTTTACTCCAAGGGCTTTTCAGTAGCTCTTCGAAGAAGCATAGCTGGCATCCAATACTTTTTTTTAATCTTTGAATACAATTTTCTTTGAATCTATGCTAGTCGTAAAACTCAGGCCTCCTCCTCTTCCATTTGTCTCCAAAAATAATATGCTCTTTAGATAAATTACTAGAGAAATACAAGAGTTTTTGAAGCAAAGGAAGACAGCTCATACAAAGAAAATTGCTAATGAATAAATTTAAATAATTTTAAAATTCTGAAATCTATCTGCCTAATGTACTATGCTTGATTTTTTTCAGACCACTCTTCTAACATTACTGAGAGTAACAGATAATAGATTATGAATAGATTAGTATTTAAAAGTTAGTACTATAAATGCAAATTAAACCAAGGGGGAAACACAAACATAAAATGCTCATTTTCATTAATAGGGATGGAGTGAAATAATATCACAAAATTAATGTTAAAGATCACCATTTATTATGCTGCATTCTCTCTAATTATTCTGTATGAGTATATACCTTATAGTCATCATAATCATTGCTGTCTAGGAAGTCTCTTTTCTCCAGTTCTATAAGTTGTTCCACAGAGGGCTTAGCTGATAGATGCTTAATAGAGGCTTGGTCATATATGGGCTTTCCATTAAAAAACAGTTCCTTCCAATCACGCATCAACTTATGTGGAATCAGACTACAGCAAAAAAGAAAAACAAAAGGTAGAGATGAATCAATGGTTAGTCAAACATGTATCTTAAACTTTAGTCTTTCTATTATCTTACTCAGTCCTCAGGGTCTGCAGTTTGAGGCCAGGGATTCCACTTGCTATTCAAGTATTCCTGGTGGCTAGGAAAATGTCTGGAACTTAGTAGGTTTGAATGAATGAATGTTACTTAAACCTACTGGTTCTTCAAACTTTCTTACTGACTGTGCACCAAAAGAACAATATATCTAAAAATAATGAGCACCATCATAAAACTTAGGTTCTTTGATTTCCAGCTGCGATATTAAATGGCCAAACAATCTCAGGAAATCATTTAAATCCTCTAATATCAGTGTCCTCCTATGCAAAATAAACAGACTGAATACCTTCCAAGGCCCATGTAAGATGACATTTGATTTAAGTATTTGCAAATAATTTGTAACAGAAAAATCCAACATATGGTGCTCTTATTGTCATTACCCATTTGGTAATCTTTAAAATTATTTTTCAGTATTTTTTCTACTTAAGTCTGATGAATGACTAGGCGGTAATCCAGGACAGGGTAATGGGAAAACAGCTCCAAGAGGAAAAAAATGTGCAAAGGAAGGAAAGAGCCTGACATAATTCAGATGCACTTCTCTAAAAATAGTTGGCCTAGAGCTTGAAATTCAATTTACAAAAAAGGAGTATTTCACATATTTCATTCTGATATATGCTACAACATGGATGAACCTTGAAGACATTTTACTAAATGAAGTAAGCCAGACACAAAAGGACAAATATTGCGTGAATCCACTGATATGAGGTACCTATAACAGACAAATTCATAGAGGCAGAAAGCAGAACAGAGGTCACCAGGGGCTGGGAGGAAGGGGAATGGAGAGTTATTATTCAATGGGTACTGCATTTCAGTTTGGGATGATGAGGAAGTTCTGGAGATGGATGATGGTGTGGCTGCGCAACAATGTAAATGGACTGAGTGCCACTGAACTGTACATTTAAAAGTGTTACAATGGTAAATTTTATGTTATGCATGTTTTGCCACAATAAAAAAGTAGTATTTCAATTAAATACACAGCTTCAAATATAATCATATTATACTTTCCATTAATAAAGTATTTATACCGCTAAAGGTTACTTTATACAGATATGGAAGTTTAGACATCAATAAGCTCAGGCATAGAAATATTTTAAGATCAGAATTATTGAAATGGCATTGGCTTCTATGGTGAAGTAAATGATTAACAACTTATTTATTGTCCAAAACTTACTGTTGCAGTTACTGGATTAATATTCTATTATCTGAATATTAAGAATTTTGTTAAGATGCAATGTTAAAAAAAGTCAGTGCATGTAAGTAGACTGATACCAAAAATATCCCTGTGCTTTAGAAAAAAATATACTGATAATATCTTGTTTAGTGAAGTACATAGAGAGATTAACATGAGTTATTTTGACTGATAGTAAAAATTAATAAAATCAACATACATACGTAATTATTGTATCCAGTTGCAACTAAAAGACACTTAAAATTTTAAAGCAAAAGCACCTTAAAAGTTCTATATCAATACCTCTGGAACTTTAAAATTTTATGTATTTTTTTCATTAGAATAAAAATGGTTTAGTATAGTCATATTCTCTATATTAATTTTGATGAAGCAGGATTTATAGAGTAATAAAAGGCAGACTAGTCTATGCCTCTGAGAAATATTACAATCAAACTAAATACATATAGGAAATCCTCCACTCACTAATAAGTAGTGCTCTGTAAATTGATTTTTAAGTCGCCTATTTGACATAGAAGCAACACTTATACGGGCTGAAAAGAAGGCTCTAATCTGCCTCTAGGACAGTGGTCACCACCTGGTTGCTTTCATGCTGGCTCCAGCCAGTGCTACTGAGGCTGTCTCCACAGTTTCTCCCAATGAGAGCATCCACAGAACTGGGATGTAAGCAATGCGTTTCCCACACTCTTCCTTCCAGGCTCTTCCAGGCTGGTGTCACGGGATCTTTGGTGGTCCTTGACTTGCAGCCGCCTAACTCTGCCTTTATTGTCAAGTGGTGGTCTCCCTGTGTGTCTCTCCTCCATTTCTTATGAGGATATGAGTCATATTTAAATTAAGGTCCCAGCCCACCCCAGCATGACCTCATCTAACTAATCACGTCTGCGATGACTGTTTCCGAATAAGGGTACATTCTGAGGCAGTCAGGGTTAGGACTTTAACATGCCTTTTTTGGACACAGTTCAACTCAGATATAAGCATCTACATATGGCCTTTTTACATTTAGTTTTTACATTTACTTTCAGCTTTTCCTGGCTCTTGGTATGAAGAGTGATTCTTTTATTGAAATCTACCCATTTTCATATTATGTTGCAAGACTCTAAATCTTAAGTAAACCTTCTGTTCTGGCTGGTTTTTCTGACATTGCTCTGGCAAGGGCAAGAGAAGGTGCCATTGTGTTACTGACAGTTATGGATAGAAGTCTCCACTTGGCCTTCCTTGCCACCCAAGGGGAGAGGATCCTTGTTACTGCTGGGAGGAGGTGGCAATTTGGGCTTCCCTCATGTCTGCACTGCTGTGAGTGTGGCCTTGTGACTTCTCGGCTATGGTGCAAGTCCTAACCCTTCGGTGGGCCTCCTCTGACACTGCTCCAGGGGGGAGGGGAGGAGTGCCCATCACTGCCAGGCGGGGTGGCAGTCCATGCTTCCTATTTGATCTTCTCAGACACCACCCTGGTGGGTGTGCTGGGGTCCCTTGTTACAGCCTCATGAGGGTAGGACACAAGGCTCCCTACTTGGTTTTTGACGGCACAGGTGGGAGCGGGACCACATTGCTTTCTGTGGTGCTTGCATGGAGTAGAGTGGTTATTGTCAGAAAGTGTTCCATTGTGTTAGGCTGCTCCTTTGGCTAGACAGGGCAGGCTTCTGTTGGGGTTATTATTGTTTTTCTGCACCGTTGGCATTTCTATGTTGCCAGAATATTCAGCTCCAATCTGGGATATATGAGGCCAAAAGAAAACCCAGGAAGCTTACCACTGTGTCGTTCCTCAGGTCCTGAGGTCACTCGCCAGGCTCACTTCTCTCCGCCTTTCAGTCTCTGTTAGTTTCACACATAACGTCCAGGGCTTTTAGCTGTACTTAATGGGAATAGGGAAGAGGGCATCTACCCTGTTTTCCCAGAGCAGAATGAGGTTTGTCGTTATGTCTTAATTTTAAATTGTGGGCTTTTCTGTGTTTAAAGAAATCAACCTGCTTTATACTATACTTTTTTCCCCTTTGAATTATCGTAGTTTATGTGTTTTATATTTAAATCTCCTACTTGTACCCTTTTGTAATTTAAATCTATTTTTACCATTATAATGCTTTGTAGTATTTTTCCTTTTTAACCTTTTTATAGTTTAACTTCCTCATAATTTTTTTCTTATAATTTCTGAACTTTTGAATTTATATTAATCTGAAAGTATTTTTAAATATTTACTCCTTAATTTCTTTCAATTTTCAGTGTTATTTTCTTTTTCTCAATCTTGTAGCTTATTAGTTTTATCTTCAAAATGTCCTCACCATTATGTTATTTCATTTAGCAGTTTTTATATGGCAGTGGGTCAGAAACATGACTATGGCCCTTATGGTGTCTAAGGTGACGGGATGCTCTCCGCCTCTTCTGTCTGACCCTGCAGGTCATCTTTTCACTGTTGGTTCTCAAGAAGATCTCGGTCTGGGTAACTTGAAAAGTATACAGATTTAACCGGATTGCTTTATCCTTGTCCTTGTGGAATTACCATCACTCAGATCTATTATTGTGTCATTCCCCTTCAGCTTTTAGCAAAGGACATAATGAAAAACAGGTCTATGAAGCCAGATGCTCCATTTGCTTAAAAGATGTTGCTGAGGATATTCTCCACTAGATCCACTACACCTATCAGTGTACGTTAGGTGAGGCCACATGAGAAAACTATTATTCTAAACTGAGTACCAAGAAAACATTTGTATTTTGTAAAGAACTAGAATGAAAAATGGAAATCATGTGACATATTGTGTTTCCCTTTTTGCTTTGGCCACCAGGTAGCTCAGATAAAACCTGCAGCTCAGTTGCATAACTAGCAAATCTACTTCTGCCTGTATAACTGTGCTTCAAATCATCCCTTGTTCTTAACTTTCGACCGTAATTTGGATTTTCCTTTGTTCTTATTTTGGCATATTCTTCATATTTTTGTATTATTGAATATTTCCTTACAAATATGATGATTCCTTTTAGAAACAAGGTACAATGAAAATAAATAGATTTGATGATTAGTAAAATAATCTTTAAAGAATTTTAGGAAGTTCCAAGTATTTCAAATAAATTGTCATAGCTGCCTTTGTAAATTATAGAGAATTTAGACACAAAGTTTAAACGTTAAAATACATACAAATTCCTCTTAAGTAAGGCTGGTCAGTGGGTGAATTAAGTCAGGAATCAAAGTATCCTGGCCCCCACTTCTTTTCATGAAGCATTTTTTCTCTCTTTACTTATCAATAAATTGTAGACACTTCACAATTTTATTCTTTCTTATTCTCTGAGGTGTCTCTAGTCTATCAATTATAAAAGACAATACTTACTTATTTGTCAACATTCGATAGTCTGCCACTTTAGTGGACAAATCAAGTATTTGATCCAAAATTTCGGCACACATTGAATAATGCTTTTGGTAACGAGCTTGAGCTCTTTCCACAGCAATCTGTTCATGAACTTCCTTCTCTCTGAGGGCTTGTTCTTCAAAATCAATCTTGGCTAGTTTTGCCAAAGCCTAAGAAGGCAAAGACATATCGTAAGTTACCATCATTGGTAGATTCAAATGAAAATAATGCTATTTCAATAGCCAAAAAAATCTCTAAATATAATGAAACCTCTTTTTACACCAGGAAAAAATTAATCATGAAAGAACACTTTCTCCTTAATACATTAAGTACTGAGAATGAAGGCCAAGACAATATTGGAAATATTCCACCCTTAGCTTATCAGTGAAACATAGTACAGACAAAAGTGGCCTAACCAGGGAACCAATGTAGATTAATAATAAATTGGATCTTAAGTGTTTAAAAAGAAGTCCTGATTTCACAGGTTGCAAATAATCAGTTGAAGATCACAGAGGAACAGGCAAGTCTGTGTCAGACCCCAAGCAAGGCTGGCCCCTTCGTACCCATCTCAGGAGCTGTAACGTGACACAGCTGCTCCGGCCAATGCCCTTTGTCTCTTCCTGGGAGAGTTCTAGCACAGGGATTCATATTTAGAAAATATTTTGGAAATTCCCTGATTATACTGGCTTGAGAATATCACATAATTGCCTACAAATGTTAAATGTGTTTAGATAACACCAAAACCATTTGCTCTTACAGCCTTAATAAATTGACAAAATTCATTCACAGAAACATCTATTTCTGCAGAAAGTAATGGAATACTTAGCGTGTCCTCACTCTCGGCTTGGTTTGCGCTATTTTTTTGTTTAGGGAAATCTTTTCTCCCCACAAAATGCAAAGATCATACCCAGCCCAGTCAAGCTGAGAGTAAAACAATTCTCAACTAGTGAGATTCCAACGATCAAATGCTGTTTTTCAAATAGCTCTACCAGCTCCTCAAGAAATTCTACAATGTGCTAACCTGCTCCAGAAACAAGACTTGTCTCCTGTATCGGAACCCAGCGAGTGTAAAAGGGAGGTAAACTTGGGTCTTGGAGGAGTTGCGGTCGAATTCCAGCCCCTGCCTGTATACAGAAGTCTAGTACTAGCTGTGAGACTTCGGGCGAGTCCGAGCCTCCCCCCACCTCCAGTTCCTCAACATGAAGCCGGGATATTAACAAGGCATGACATTCACAGGAAAATTAACCGACCATGTTGTCAGAGCAAATATTTCTTACCGTGATACTATTCATGAATGATTAAGTGCACGACAACGGACCACTCATCTACTGAACCAAATGGCAGGTTGGTTTGTTTGTTCTATTGCTGTTTTATTGTGTTTGTTTATTTTTATTGGGAAAGGGTTGGGCTGTGTGACCTCTAAAGTCAATTCTGTACACTTGGCAAGTTTGGAAATTACACCAGAATTTGTCATTGTTATACTGCCTTGTAGGCTCTGTTTTCAGGGAGAAAGCATACAAATTAAGTCCAAAGTTTTATGGCCTGCTTCATGAAGTGGGCAGAGTTCAGTGGAAAGAAGAATCTGAGAGAATCGGAGGAGTTAGATGAGAATTTATGGAGAGAGTGACACTAAAATGGATGGTGAGGTAAGTTTACCACAGAGTGCCTGTAAAGCATGTGGAAACATTGAGCATATGATGGGACCAAAACCTCAAAGGGAACAATGGAATGTCCCTAGCAGGAACAGAGCTTTCCCCCTCAGTGCTACTGTCGCGTCTGCCTCCCTCCCTCCCTTCCTCCTTCCATGCCTTTCTTCCTTCTTTCTAGCTCTCTAGTCATCTACCTCTACCCCCCAACCCTGTGCTAAACCCACCACAACTTCCTGTCCCATTACAGCAGAGTGAGTTGTAGCCCTAAAAAAAGAAAGTAGGAAAAGGAAAAAGGAAGTCTGTGGGAGATAGTACATCTCAGGGTTTACGAGCCTGGGCTCTGGAGTCTGTTAGAGCTGGCTGTGGCCCTGCTACACTACTGACAAGCTGCAGGACTCTGAGCTTCTAAGCTTCGTCTTCCTTATGTGCACCATGTAGATAAGGATAGTGTCCACTTTAAATGCCCATTGTGAGAATTATATATGCATGCAATGAACATAGGTCAATGCTTGACTCAAAGTAGCTGCTCAGAAAATGTTAAATATTATTGTAATTAATTATTATTATTAATAACAGCAGTTGGCACAGAAATTTGAAATCAGGAATGGTCTTGGTATAGAATAGATACCCAATTTCCTTAAAGGAAAAGATTAGCAGATTTAATCTGAGGGCAAACAAAAACTCCTTATGGTGAAAAACACAAAGTTCTTTCTCTCTGTCCCTTCTCCTTCTCTCTCTCTCTCTCTTTCTTTCCTTTTTTAAATGTGCCAGACATTGGTTAAGCCCTGGGGATAGAGTAGTGAGCAGAAGCAAACATGGTTCCTGTCCTCATACAGCTTATATCCAGTTGGAGAGGCAGTCAAAAAGCCATATAAATAAATGTATAATTACACACTCTGATAAGTGTCACTAGGGAAAGACTGTGGTGTGGGGTACCCAACAGGTGGTCTGACCTAGGCAAGAGGTGGCATGTTCATGAAGCTCTGAAAGATGAGTATTAACCGGGGAAAGGTGCTTGGGAAGAGAGGGAAAGGTAGAAGAAACGACTTGTTCCAGGATCTGAGAGCAGGCCCGTGTGGCCAAAGTCCAGCGGATAGAGGGGAACAAGACGTGAGCAGAGGTCTGGTCAGTGGAAAGCCATGGATGAGCTTTTGAGTATGAGGGCAGTGTTCAAATCCGAGCGTCAAGAAGATTCCTCTGGCTGTAGAGAGTGGTTTGACAAGTGACAAATATGTGACGTTAGGGCTGGCCCGGTTGCTCAATGGTTAAGTTTGTACATTCCACTTCAGCAGCCCGGGGTTTGGGGATCCCAGGTGTGGACATGGCACTGCTTGGCAAGCCATGCTGTGGTAGGCGTCCCACATACAAAGTGGAGGAAGATGGGCATGGATGTTAGGGCCAGTCTTCCTCAACAAAAAGAGGAGGATTGGCAGCAGATGTGAGCTCAGGGCTAATCTTCCTCAAAAAAAAAAAAATCTTATGTTGACAGCTACACGTGAGCTGGGATAGCTGAGGTCTCTGAAAACAGATGGAGCTTTCGTCTGATGACTGCAGTGTTTCCTTGATGACTTGGCCCTGTGACCTGGGGCACTGTGCATCTCTGTAGGCAAAGATGGTCTGTTGGAGTTCAGCCTAGGTTGTTTCAAAGAACATAAAGAATGGTATGCTCTTGTACATTCCAATTGTGGTTGCCAATTCATAGCCACTAAAAATAGATGAAAGAGATCATTGCAGTAGTAATCATAGAGACTGGGGTGGTGATGTTGACATGGAGAAAAATGGACAAATTGCAGAGATATTTAGTACATGAAGTCAGTAGCATATCATATATCACGTATCACTCATATCACATATCATATAAGTGATATGGGGGAGTGAAGGTGAAGCAGGCTCCAAGTGGGCCCTGCGGTGTTGAACATGTACAACTGAATAAATGGTAATGTCATTTGTTGAAAAATGGAACCTTGAAAAAGACCAGTTTAGTGGTAAAGGTCGTAAGTTCAGCTTTAGTTGAATTTGAGGTGTCTCTGAGATATATGAGTAAAGATGTCAAGAAGGCAGTTGAGCACAGTATCTACACCTCAGAGGGCAGAGGCATCAATTCATGAGTCCTCTGCCTATCGCAGTTTTCCACCGCCATGGTTGTGGAAGAGACTATCTGAGGAAATAACACAGAAGAGAAAAGACAGAGGCATAGGACTAAGCTTTAAGGAATGCTGACATTAAATGCTTCAGCATCAGAGGAGAATGAGCTTACAAAGAAGGCTGAGAAGGAGCAAGAAAGCAGGAGGAGAACCGGGAGAGCGTTTTCCACAGCAGCACTCAATAGAAAGTGACCACATACTGGCAAATTAATAATTAATATTAATAACATGAAGTATTATTAATAAACTGTGAGGACCAGTAACAAACTTCAAAAATATTAATAAATTTAAGAGTACTTCCAGAATTCTCCCACCACAAACAATAAGAAAAATACCAGCACGGTAACAATTAAAGAAAAGCAACAATTTAAAAACCTCCTTTTTCACAAAAATGAAGCAGTAGAATGATAATGCTGTGCGGAATCAAAGGTATTTTGTTTGTTTAGTGAATGACACTTAAAAAGTAGGTGACAGTGTTCATTTGACAGATTTATTTGGCTCGTACTTATGCAGCTGCACTGTTGATGCAGGAGGTGATAAAGCCAAGGTTTGTGGAGGCAAACTGTGAAATCAAGTCATCTCTAAGGGACGGTGCCAGGGAAGCAGATACCTCAGCTTTAGGAAAAGGTAATCACACGAGAGGAAGGGATGGAATTTCTTCCAGGTGCTTCAGAACCTCACAGTTCTGGTCTCTGAGGCTGGCCTGCGTGTCCCAATCCTCTGAAGTCAGCTGAAGCTCAGTTAAAGAAAGAACAGGTAATGCACAGCACAGTGGGACCAGTCCTGCTATAAACACTTTACTATTCTGCACTTTAATTGGGCTTGTACACATATTTTTCAAATAGGCACTCAGAAAAGTTAGCTAAACACATCATTTCTAATGTAATCAAACGCCACTCAATCCATTCACATTTACTCTTGTCAACAAAGAGGGATGAAACAATTATCTAGATAGTTTAGCTCTTGAAGAAGACACTTGAAATCAGCGTGCGTGCAGCTCAGATTCATGGGGGTACGGCTCCTCGCCCCTACGCCTAACATTTCAGCTACGGCTGTTCTACAAAGGCAAAAGCACCATTTTCCTGACTCTGGAGAATACAGTACCTTCCAAATGATATTTCTAAATATTTGCATAATTTTTACAAAAGCTGAATTTCATTTTCATGGAACATCACAATGAAAACCATGAAGCTGATAAATAGAGCATTGCCTTCCTATTTTCTGAAAGGTTTTCTCTTCTGCTTAGCCTGGTTTTATGAATATTTATCACAGCAAAGACAGGCTATATAAAATGCCATTCACATGAGCTTTGTATTTCTTCAACCAAATCTGGACTAATGGATTGAATAAATTTGAAATATCCCCCAAAGGAAAGAGACAAAAAGTAATCCATATAACCTATTGATAAAATAAATCTATTTTGGTTATTAGATCCCATAAAGACAATGAAAATATTAATTTATTAAATAATTAAAAGATAGGATATTTTGATTTTCAGAGCTATAAAAGGCCCTAGACACAATGACATCATAGTAGCTAAGAGCATACCTAGCACCCAGATCTTGGTTTCTGTATACCATTCTCAAACACAGTGAACCAGAGTACCCTAGATAAATGGTTTATTGTAGCTCTGAAAAGGAATAGTACAACATGGGCCTGGGAAATCTTGTTTTATCAGCAAGAAAGGAATTATTTATTAAAGACTAATGGTATCTTGTTAAAAAAAGGCAGCTTAAAAGTGCTCTCACTGCCTGAGGATATTCACCTGGAATAAACAATACCAATATCATTCTAGTAAACTTGGTGGACTTTAAAAAAAGAAAGTCCTTCATCCATCTAGAAAAAAAGAGTAACGACTCAAGGAAATAAAAATTAGTTTATCATATTAATCTTTTTGATAGCAGTACTTTATACCTGAAGAAAATGGAAGAATGTATTTAAGATATTCAAGGAAAGAAAATGTGAAGTAAGGATTTTATATACAGCAAAACTGATCATCAAGTATAACAGGCACATACTGTTACCAATTTACAGGAACTCAAGGAATATTGCTCCCATGAGCCCTTCTTGAGGAATCTACTGGAGAATGAGTTCCAGACAACCAAAATGACCAGAGAGACGTGGACATAAGGACTAGAGGTGAGCATTAAGTATTTGTAGAATCAACACTAAAGGGAGAGAGTATGGTATGTAGATGCTAATGTGCTGTCAACGTAGTATACAAAAATAAAAACGGGAGATAGCAGAGAGGTCCTATTAAAAATTAACTCTTACTGGGGCCGGCCTGGTAGCTTAGTGGTTAAGTTCGTGTGCTCTGCTTCAGTGGCCCGGGGTTCGCAGGTTCGGATCCTGGGCACAGACCTACACACCACTTATCAAGTCATGCTGTGGCGGCAATCCACAAATAAAACAGAGGCAGACTGGCACAGATGTTAGCTCAGGGCTAATCTTCCTCACAAAAAACAAAAATGTAGCTTATCAAGTGATCAACAACTAAATATACCTTCATTTACCTTGACTTGGTAGAAAGGATCAAAAGTAACCTTAGAAAGATTTTTAAGGGAGATATTGTTTACCGCTTCTCGATCAAGAGCATCCTGGAAATCTTTAAGTCGTCTTTCCTCATATTGTTTTTCTCTGAAAATTCTGTTTTGCCACAAAACTTCCTTTTCATGCCGAACGTGCATGAGCTGCACGGCGATCCTGCGCTCCTGCTGGGACTGCCGCATCAGCCGGTTAATGAGCTGCTCCTCCCGATAGGCCTCCTGAGAACACCATTGGAAGAGCCAATTATTTGCCAAGGTGATGTCCAAATTTCCCATTGGGCTAAGAAGCCTATACATAAATAACGTGTAAAAGGCATAGTATTTATCTACATCAATTTCTGCCATTTGATTTAAATTTGAACATGTCAAGAATCGGGTTATAAAAATGAAAATTTCCAACCAAGGTTGTATAATTTTGGTATCTAGAAGCATTATGGTCTTGCAACTCACATTTATTTTAAATGAATTATTACTTCTTTTGAAATCCGATCACAAATAAATCAGGTGATTGTTTTCAAGGTTTTATAAACAAGGGATATAATTCTACACTTATAAGGATGTTTTTATAAATTTGGAATTGTGCTACACATACTCTTAACATAAATACTAGCTGTAAAAACAAATGGAGAGGGGGCTGGCCCAGCGGCATAGTGGTTGGGTTTCTGTGCTCTGCTTTGGCAGCCTAGAGTTCACGTGTTTGGATCCCGGTCATGGATCTATACGCCACTCATCAGGCCATGCTGTGGTGGCATCCCACATAAAATAGAGGAAGACTGGCACAGATGTTAGTTCAGGAACAATCTTCCTCACAACAATAAAAATAAGAATAAAAATTTTAAAAATGAATGGAGATGTTGTCTGACTGAAGATGGCAGAGCTGATTGGTTTCCAGCAGGGACATCTCAATACCTGGGTGAGGAAAAGCTGACAGAACGGGAGGACTGGAGAAGAGGCTAAGGAGAAATGACCTATTGCTTATCTTAGAAAATCTGAGTGGTTATAATCCAAAAGAGAAACTAAATGCAGTCTCTTGGCTTTCTTGGCTATTTTAAGACAATCGAAGAGGAGACAGTAGGTGAGCAGTAGAAAGTATTAAACTGGGAATCAGAGGCCTTGACCCCTGCAGCCTCAGTGGTACCATTTATTGGTGTGTGGCCATGGGCAAGTAACTCACAATTTCAGGACCTATTTCTTGACAGATAAAATGAGGGGTTTAGGTGGAAGATGATCACCAGAGCCCCTTCAAGCTCTCTCCCCCTGTCTAAACAGAGACATCCTGTGGAAGGTGATGGTAATTACAGTTCTCAAGAGGAAAGACAGAAGAAGACTGAAACACTGGAGTTGTCTATTTAACACTCAGCAATCAATTACTTAGCAAGAAAATCTAGCATCATCAATGACACTGTTTCAAATCATCTCTCCCACTATGAGATTACGGGAGAAATACTATCTATTTTTTCCGCAATCAAGATATAAATAACAATAACACTCTATGGTAACTGCCAAAACCTGAACCTGGAAATTACATTAAAATGTAGATTAAATCAAAGTTCAACTGAAAATAAATAAGAATTTTTTTCTGTTTGTAACATAGATAAAAAATAAAATCATCAACAACTTTGAAACTTCATGTCTCATCTAGTTATAAAATCCTAGAAGCTTTAATGTTAATCATTTGTTTCCTTTTGAGATCCAATAATAGAGGTGAGGCAGAATGTAAAAATGGCCACAAGTTCTCCAGTTTTCTTCATCCACAGTCTTTCAATGTTATCCTGCAGATATTCACATCAAAAAGTAGACTCTATTTCTCCACTCCTTAAATACGGGGTATGAGGGTGACCATTGACTTGAATTGACTAATGCGACATGAGCAAAAAAAAAAAACCCATAAAACAAAAACACTTGGGATATGACTTTCTTAATTCTCTTGCAAGCCCTGCCACTGCCACCACATTTTCTGGTCTGCTAGAAAATAAGAGACCATACAGAGAGAGGCACCAATCTTCCCAGCTGGACCTGATGATGCTCTCATAGGTCAGCCAGCCCCAGCCAACCTGCCAGCTGACCAAAGACGTCTGAGTGAGGCCAGCTGAGCCCAGCCCAAACTTCCTACCACATTCTGGGATGGTTTGGGATACATAAGGCCCAATCACAACCATATTTTTAAAAAATATAACCTTGATTTATTATTCCAAATGAATTCTATATTTAATATAGAATATATTCTATATTTGGCTGTGTTTACAGGGGAAGGCAATTTAGTTGTCGAGATGAGATGTGGTCATTCTGACTCTCATGAAGAACAAACTGGACTGGTCCAGATGTGTTTTGATTAGTGTTTGGATGACAACACATTATGATCAAAAAGGGAAAAGGAAAAGGAAATTACTGTTGAATGGCTGAGTCCATGCTATGTAAATGAAGCTTCAGTATGAAGAGCCATCAAGTGCATTAAGACCTGCACCCAAAAGTTGAGTGGAAAGATGATTTATTCTTTTGTTCCACTGTACAAGTAGTTCATGTTTTAGAAATAGACTTTTTCCCAAAATTCCCCTGGAACGTTGGATATATTTTCTCATAGGAAGAATGATACAAGTTGTGGTTAGGTGCTTACAGTAGCCTACAGATGTCTAGTTAATGAAACTTGAAATAGATAGTTATTTTAAAATCTACTTTTTAATCATCTAATTTTCATACTTTCTAATTCTTCTAATTAAAAGAGAGACTACCACACTAAATGAGTAAAGAAATGTGAATCTGAAGAAATAACCTTTTAGCACAGAGAGATGGAAGAGTTATTCTTTCAATTTTTCACTAAAGAAGGAGTGAATCCATGGACAGTTTCACTTCCTTGTTCTTATACAAATCCTGTCTTTCCCTTCATTTAACAGATACATTGAGCAGACCAGATGTAGATAGATGAATAAAGGAAGTATCTTCAAATGGTCTTTCATATTTTAGACATGTAGATCTGTCCTATTTACATTCACAACTTGACGAATCACCTTCCTCCGCAAGGCTGCTCCTCTTATCATCTGCCATATCACAGCCAATGATATGTCCATCCACCCAGCTGGTCAAGCTAGACATCTGGCCTCTCAGCCCACTTTTTCACTCCCCTGTGTCTGATGAATCATTGAGTCTTATTGATTTTACCTCTAAAATAGCTCTTGAAGCCACTTCTCTCCATCCCCATTGCCACTACCCTTAAACCAGGATAATTTCTTACCTAAATTACAGCAACAGCTATAATTCGTTTTGCCCTCATGTAATCTATTCTCAAAACTAAAGCTAGAGTGATCTTTGTAAAGGCAAATCTGACCTTGTCACTCTTGTGGCCCTTTGCACTCAAGATAAAATTTCCTATTTCCCTCTATAACTTATAAGGCTCATTATGATTTGGCCTCTGGTGACTCCTGCTAAATGACATATTAGTCCACGAAAAGCGCTGAGGCTTTCCCTATGATGGAAACACACTTTACCTTCTACCACTTCAGCCTCTGTTGGAAACTAACCCTTAACCCCACCTCATCACAATCATCTCCACCTTCAATTAGCTAACTCTGAACCCCTCCTCATGCTTCTGTGTTATCATCCTCTAGAAAACTTCTCTGAACTAAGCCAGGGCTGGACTTCCTTCCCATGTGTCACCTGTCCCGCCCAATACCTTCACTGCCCCTTCACACTCTACTGTAGTTGCTTGTCTATAGATCTTCCTCCAAACAGTAAGTCTGTGAGAGCAGGTTTCTCACTATTCTTGTTCACTGCTGTATCCTGGACCTAGGACAGGTACCCAGAGCATAGAAGAGGTTCAGTAAATATGTGATCAATGTAAGAGTTCATCAGTTATTCTCAAACTATAGCTGCATCAAAACACTTAGAGGGCCTGTTAACATAGATGGCTGGACCCCAGCCCAGAGCTGTGATTTGAATTTCTGATTCAGCAGGTCTGAAGTGGGGCCCAACTATTCACATTCCTAAAAGTTTCTAGGTGATGCTGATGCTCTTGGTCCAGGAACCACACTTCGAGAACCGCTGGAATAGACTAATGAACAAACTGAGAGGACTAACAACTTTTCCATGTTATTCTCATTAAGAAGTCCCTTTTTGATAATCTCAATAGATGCAGGAAAAACATTTGAAAAATTCAGTATTCTTTCATGATAAAAATTCTCAACAAATTAGGTATAGAAGGAATGCAACTCAGCATAATAAAGGCCATATATGACAAACCCACAGCTAACATCATACTCAACGGTATGATGTTAAAAGCTTTCATCTTTTGACCACTCTTCTAATATCAGGAATAAGACAAGGATGATCATTCTTACCTCTCCTATTCAACACAGTACTGGAAGTCTCAGCCAGAACAACTGGCAAGAAAAAGAAAGGAAAGGCATCCAAATCAGAAAAGAAGTAGTAAAATTGTCTCTGTAGATGACGTGATCTTATATACAGAAAACTCTAAAAACTATTAGAACTAAAAACCAAATTCAGTAAAGTTGCAGGACACAAAATCAACATATAAAATCAGTTGTGTCCCTATACACTTAACAATGAACTACCTGAAAAAAAAATTAAGAAAATAATTCCATTTATAATACATCAAAAATAAAAAAATATTTAGGAATAAATTCAGCCAAGGAAGTAAAAGATCTGTCCACTGAAAACTATAAAATACTGATGAAAGGAACTGAAGAATACATAAATAAAAGGAAAGATACCCCACATTCATGGATTGGAAGAATTAAAATGTCCATAATATCTAAACTGATCTACATTTTCAATGCAATCCCTATCAAAATTCCAATGGCATTTTTCACAGAAATAGAAAAACAATCCTAAAATTCATATGGAAACACAAAAGACTTCGAAAGCAATCTTGAGCAAGAAGAACAGAACTGTAGGCATCACACTTTCTGATTTCAAAATATATTACAAAGCTCAAGTATTCACAACAGTATAGTACTGGCATAAGAATAGACATATAGACCAATGGAACAGAAAAGAGAGCCCAGAAATAAATCCACACATGTGTAGTCAACTGATCTTCAACAAGAGTACCATGGCTACACAATGAGGAAAGGACAGTCTCTTCAACAAATGTTGCAGGGAAAACTAGATATCCACATGCAGGAGAATGAAAATGTACCCTTATCTCACACCATATACAAAAATCAACTCAAAATGGATTAAAGAATAACACATAAGACCTGAAACTATAAAACTACTAGAAGAAAATATAGGGAAAAAAGTTTCTTGGCATTGGTCTAGGCAATGATTTTTTTTTGTATATGACCTCAACAGTACAGACAACAAAAGCAAAAATAGACAAGTGGGATTGCATCTAACTAAAGAGCATCTGCACAGCAAAGGAGACAATGAACAGAAAGAAGAGATAACCTATAGAATGGGATAAAATATTTGCAAACCATAAATTTTAGTTAATATCCAAAATACATGAGGAACTCAAACAACTCAATAGCAAAAAATCAAGTAAACCAATTAAAAAGTGGGCAAAGGACTTGAAAAGATATTTCTCAAAAGAAGAAAAACAAACGGCCAACAGGTATATGAAAAGGCACTCAACATCACTAATCATCAGGGAAATGCAAATCAAAACCATAATATGATATCACCTCATACCTATTAGAATAGCTATTATCAAAAAAAAAAAAAAAGAAAGAAAATGTGCTGGCAAGGATGTGGAGAAAAGAGAACCCTTATATACTGTTGGTGAGAATGTAGATTGGTACAGCTAACATGGAAGAGAGAATGGTGGTTCCTCAAAAACTTAAAAATAGAACTACCATATGACCCAGCAATCCCACTTCTGGTTATATATACAAAGGAAATGAAATCCGTATCTCAAAGAGATATCTGCACCCCCATGTTCATTGCAGCGCTAGTCACAATAGTCAAGATACAGACACAACTTCAGTGTCTATTAATGGATGAATGGACAAAGAAAATGTGTTATATATACACAATGGAATATTATTCTGTCTTACAAAAGAAGGAAATCTAGTCATTTGTGACACATGGACGAACCTGGAGGCCATTATGCTAAGTGAAATAAACCAGATACAGAAGGACAAATACTGTATGATCTCACTTACATGTGGAATCTAAAAATATTGAACTTATAAAAGTAGATTTTAAGTGTTCTCACCAAACATAAAAAAAATGGCAACTATGTGAAGTGATGGATGTGTTAATTAGTTTGATTATGGTAATCATTTCACAACATATACACACATCAAAACATCATGTTGTACACCTTAAATATATACAATTTTTATTTGTCCATTATACCTCAATAAAACTGGAGAAAAAAGTTCCCTTTTACCTCCAAAAGTAACAATAGATACATATGGTCAACAGATTTTAGATTCCTTTTTGGTCAGTACTTTTTTTATTTTGGTAAAATATACATAACATAAAGTTTACCATTTCAACCATTTTTAAGCGTACAATTCAATGGTATTAAGTACACTCACAATATTTTACAACCATCACCAGATTTTAGCTTCTTTAGTAAATGTTTTATGTAGGTTTTTTTTTTCTGAGTCTATCTGCTACTAAGATGTGAGGATGTGCCACTGATATTTGATTCAGAGTGGCAGATAATACAAATATACATATGTGTGTGTGTATAAAAGACTACATTTTGTACAATTTCCAGCACTATTATTTAACCAACATCTAAATGTATTACCTCTTGTGCTTCGTGGGCTATTAACTGATCCATTAACAGTCTCCGTCGTCTTTTCTCCCTTTGCTCTCGTGCAAAAGCATCTTCTTCAAGGCGCTTTTGAATTTTTTTAATGTAGTCATCATCCGAATAAGTGTTTAACAAATCAGCAGTTGTCTGACCTGCTGTATCTAAAGAAGTCTTGGATGCACTAAGGACAATAGTTTTTATTTAGATTTTTAAAAATAATTCAATCACATGCCACTACTTGTGATTATGAAGGAAGATGAGAGGAGAAGGCTCCCTTAAGTTCTCTGTTACTAATACAAGCATTAAAGCAAATACTAGAACTTCAGTGTGACACCCATCGCTTATCAATCGATTCCATTCGCCTCACCCCATTTCTGCTCACTATATCTTAGCATAGTCTTCTTTCTAGGTCTATCACCTACTTGTTCTTTTACTTCTTATGATCTTCACTGTACCCAGAGATTCTGGATTTCTCTCCATCTTCTTCCTGCTGGCTCTAGGCCTCTTGCCTCCACTGTTGTGAGTCAACAGTAGACACAATACCAATAACTCAAGTGTCAGGGAAGGCACACCTCTACAAGAGTCGGCCAGGTACACTAACGTCAGGACACTGAGAGTACTTCCAAGGATAGTTCCATCCACTACAACTCTCCTCTCCCCTATGCAAATGCAAGTTGCTCTATGAACTCCCACTAACTTTCTGACTGCTCAGGGCAGGGGCCCAGCTCTTACTGGAGGCCCTGCTGTGGAAAGCTGACTTGCTCACGGTGCCACACTTGCAAGCACAGGTCTGACCTAGCCTCTTGCTCAAGTCCTGGAAACCCAAATGAGAAGACCTACTTCAGGGTTCTTATCCTACCTCATGTCCAAAATTAAAGGATCAAGAAGAGTCTGGTGGTCTCACCAACAGAAAGAAAACACACTCAATTTAGTGAGAGAAATGCTGGCTTAGTACAGAATTTATACATTCATTCAAAAGTTATCTTTAAAAGTAAAAGATATATTTTTATGTGTAAGAAACAAATAATTAGTTCTCATCTGCATATCTCTTTAAAAAACAAGCAAAATACAATCATACAATGGTATAAGATATATCATAATGTTACTTGCTAAGAAATAATGAATTTTAACATGATCTTTTTTTAATGTTTTAAGTTATTAACATATTTGGTTTGAAATATAACTTATAATCTTATTCAAAAGACAAGGACACATTCTTATGGAGTATAAGGACTAAACGGTCATCAATTCTCATATGGACAGAAGTACTCTTGCAAAAGCATAGTTAATTCATGTTTAATGAAATAATAATTATATATTTATAGTACAGATCATATTGTATTATAGTTCAGTATTTGTAGGTTTGCTGCTCCCAGCTGAATTCTGAGCTCTTTAGAAAAGTATCCTATTTTACTCCTCTCTGTATCTTGCCTTGTAGTCCTGACATGTAGCTGATGTCTGCTAAGTTTCAAATACTCACTAAGAAGCACTGTACAAGGATAATACAATTTTAAAAATCACACATTGAAATTTTAGTTATTTTATGAGCAGGAGTTCAATCTTCAATTGTATTCTGTCAGTGAGAGTCGTTGAGCAGAAACTGTAGCTCCCAAAGCCTCAGTGAGATCAAAGACAAAGTGTGACCCTATTTATTTATTAAGATTTAGTACAATTAAGTATTGATAAAAATTGTGTGGTATAACTTTTTTAGATCACTCATCAAAATTCTTACTATATTTTCACTTAAATGTGTTGTTTAAAAGCCTTTGCGTTGGATTGAGCATGAATAGCTTTCCCAACACTGTATTTAAGCTGCCAACAATATACTTAACATATTGCTTCTCCTTTATTTATCAATCAGTCTGCCCATCCATCCATTCATCTACTTGCTGTCTCATTCCAATTAAGGTCTGAAGAAAGTGACATGATATTTACTTGAATAAATATTCATTTTACTAGGGTGTGTGTTTCCTGAGGGCAATAACTATGTTTTCTTTATATCTGTTTGCTTCTCAGCCCTCCATAGAATTAGTAATTGTATGTGTATGAATTAATAGTAATAGGAACCTTGGCCAAATTTGTATATATAAAAAAAGCTGTTGGTAGGAAGAGCCTAAGGTAAATCTGTGAATCCAAATGTCAAATGACAGCAGCCAACAACCTTAGCTAAGGGAACAAATGGCAGACAGCATTTATCATTTGTCTTAAAAAATAAAGAAACTGTACAGAAAACTGTGAGGAAAAAGCAGCCAAGGGAGCCTGTGCATTGCTCTCCTGGAGACATCGTTTCATTCTTCCATAAAAGAAAACAGATGGACTCTGAGGTGAGGTCCTGAGGAACTGTGTCAGGAGCAGCCTTGAAAGAGGCAGCGCAGAAACTGCTCCTCAGGATCAACCTATGAGTAGATTTTAGAGCTTTCTGACATCAAGTAGTGTGAAACTGCTGAAAGAACCCGGAACAGGCTTGATTCTAAGATAAGAATTCAGAAAGAACTAAAAAAGTAGTGACTAATAAAGAGGCTAAAGAAAGCCATATTGTACCATAGCTTTCGCTTTCTTTGAGAGTTTGCTCCAGACCAGTGTCTGCCGATAGCTTTTACTTCGGGGCCATCAGAGAAAATGCTCCTTGTGCAGCACCCTGTAAGGGATCTGGAGTCTCAGACGAGGCTGCTCACAGCCAAAAGTGACTGGTCCAGGGACTCAGGCTGCCCGAGGCCCTATCCTGCTGCTCTGAGAAGTGAGGATGTCTACAGCTCATGGCCCCCAAGTGGGAAATCTCTGGCAAGCGCAGGGGGAGGCCTCTGCAGAGAAAGAACCTGGGACAGGCACTGCTATTTCCTTCCCTTTTTCCTCAAAACAGAGCCCCGATTTTATTCAGGAAAACAAAGCACCCAGCTAAAGACTACATTTGTCAGCCTCCCATTCTGTTAAGTATGGCCACGTGACTGAATTCTGGCCAATAAGATGTAAGCAGAAATGTTATATGGGACTTCTGTGAAGGCTCTTCAAAGGAGCTATTTCAGATTGGAGATATCCACTTTTTGTCTATCCTCCTTCCTGATATCTGAAACATGGGCCAAATGAGCCCCAGCAGCCAGCTTGTATTGTGAATGTGACTTTGAGGACAAAAACCACACAACAGGGCAGCTGAGCTAAAGGAAAGCCTCAGTCCTTGATGACCTTGGAGCTGCAATGCAAGCCCAGGGCTGCTTACATTCTCATTTCTATTACACAAAAGAGAAGTAAACTTCTATCCAATTTAACTCACTCTTGTTTTGGGGTTTCTAAAGCTAACTGATGGAGAGACTAGGTTCAGGTTGGGTTGGCAAAGGTTATAGGGAGCAGGGGGAATGTTTGCAGCTGTATTGTATAGGCATGATCTTTAAAACATTTAATAACTGACACGGCAAGGACACCAATCAATCAAATGGATGCTGGTGCAGGGATTGGAAGATGCTGGTGTGCTTGGTGTTAATTCTGGTTGCTAAATTATGTAGATATGGAGGGGTCCCAGGAAAGGGGCCAGCCATAGAGCTACAGGGAATGCCATTCCCCAAGAAGTAACAAAGTGTTTTAATATTTTAAGATGGTCGTTCTGGTGGACACCATCTGTTTATCCCTCAGAGCATGTGGCTGGTGAGCTGAGTGAATGAGTTGGAAGAAATGCAGCGGTTTCGTGGACCAAGGATAGGGTGGGTGTGGTGGGGTTCAACTGGCAGCTGCATGTGAGAGTAGGCTTGGATTGCGGGGTTTCTTTCGGAGTTGGGGCAGCACTGGGGGTGGGAGTCAGAATAGGGCATCAGGAGTTTCTGCAGAGGGTAGAAGGAAAGGTAATGTATGTATTCCCCATTTTGCTTCATGTTCCTTCCACACCTGACTTCCTTGCCATTTCTTCTTCTAGCTTTTTCTTATTCCTCCTCATTTGACTCTATTATCTTCCCTCATAAATATTAATATGGAACTGAAATATCTAATTTGCATCTGTTTTTCTTCTTTAACAGATTTATTTCATATTCCATAAAATATAAATGAGTAGGGTTTGGATATTTTCCATTTAAAAATGCAGAACTCAAGTAGCTCCTACATATGTGCTCCCTGATTGATTATTTTCTGTGAGTGAATGACCCCCAGTAGGAAACAAAAAGGGAGGGAATCCTTATCTTTAAGCAAATGAAGCCCATTAACTGGGGACTTTTTGCAATGAACTCACCAAACTGCCTGTCTTAGTGACATTCGGTCAATAAATTCATTCAACAACTCTTTACTGCTGGTCCCTGTGCTAAATGCTGAGGAGGCAACATGACAGAAACCAACTAGAGTCTACCAAGACTTCACTGTGACAAATTTAAACTAATGGTAACTTGAAACAATTTTAGTGACTGTTTAAAAATGTGTGTGAACTTAGAAGAATAAGCAGAGCATAGAAAAATAAACTTCACATCTCACAGTAGCCACTTTCCCTCTTGATCTTTACGAAAGTTGTTAATGAATAAGTAATCTCAATCTTAGCTCGTTTATCTTCCTTCATATAATGTCTTAATGAAGATTCGACCAAGTGAAACCAGCTTTGGAAGAGCTAGTCCAGATAAACTAATTGTAAATATTCAAAACTTATAGGTAGAACAGAATGAAGTTTTATGATTATTAAAATAGTTTACATCCCACCTTTCTTTGGCCTGGAGATCCTTTTTTATTAATGCTTCAAACTTCTTAATCTCATTGGCCACATCCTTTAAAGAAAATTCATTATCAGTTTTCCACCTCTAAAAACCACTGAAAATCTTCAGTTACCATATTCATTCAAGTTTATAAAGTGACAGACTCTACTAATTTGAGCTAATTAGGAGGCAAGATATGAAAAGCTGCATTCTACAACACTTTCATTATTTTTATTTGTTACTTTTAGAATAGGCTAAATACACCTAAAAGAATCTGAAAATTGCCTAACCTAAATCACTCAGTTCACAATTCTAGTTCTGACAGTGCATCAAAGGGCATTTAATGAGAATGAAGATTATCAGAGTTAGGCCATGCATTCTTTTTTGTTTTTTAAAGATTTTATTTTTTCCTTTTTCTCCCCAAAGCCCCCCAGTACATAGTTGTATATTCTTCGTTGTGAGTCCTTCTAGTTGTAGCATGTGGGATGCTGCCTCAGCGTGGTTTGATGAGCAGTGCCATGTCCGTGCCCAGGATTCGAACCAACGAAACACTGGGCCGCCTGCAGCGGAGCGCACATACTTAACCACTCGGCCACGGGGCCAGCCCCTAGGCCATGCATTCTTGAATGCAATTCTTTTAAATGAAAACAAGCATTTTTGGGATATAAATATTTCTTTAAAAACCGTTGTCGTTGTCTCAACTGTTTTAAACATTTCTTGCACAACCTTATTCACACTATTAATTTGCTCTCTGGAAACTAATTTTAGCTCATCCTGTCTACTGCAAATTCTTATTAATAAACTTTAATCAAATCAGGGAAATACAGGAATTAAATACTTTACTAAAAGGGAGTCAGAAAAAAGCCTCTGTGGGTGGTATTTTTTAGAATCCAACTACAGAATTTTTTAATATTAAAAAAAAGAAATGTGGATTAATATAAAATGCAATGGATTGAGAAATTAGAGAAACTTGTCAATTTCTGCTTTACCAGAACTGTGAACTTGGGTAAAACATGTCAGCTTTCTGAGACTCAATTTCCTTATCTACAAAATGGGAAAAATAGCACCCTACTTAGAAGAGTCACTTATAAATTAAAGATAATGTGAAGTACCGAACCCACAGTCTGACATATAGCACATGCTCAATAAATGGTAGCTATTAATCTTTTTCTTAGGTCATGGGAGAGAACATCATTAACAAGCATTGTAGCAGTATGCAGTACAGACTGAAGGAATCAGTATCAAAATGTAGTAGTATCGCTCCCTCGTGAAATATAATCAGATTGTATCCTATTGGAATAATTGACAGTTGGTATGGTCTAGTAAAATATCACCAGTGTGGGTATCTTAAATTTAAATATACTGATAACAGCCAAATAACTTAACATTTCTAGGATTCATCAGACAATAGTATAGCATAGTGAAGAGGAACTGAGTAAAAATATATAGTAGAAATGGCACATACGAGGTATGTGTACCTCAGCTGCCTTCTGTTCTACTCATGGGAGTCATGACCCATTACAAGAACACCCATTCTGGTCTAATTTGCTGGTGATCACAGAATTCTCAACACAGGAGTCCAGACAGGTACTGTCATTTAACAGGAGTTTGCCATCCCTGGCCTACAGCTACATTCTCTGTTTCTGAACAAATAACAGTATCAAATGGATTGGATATGCAAACAGTAGAGGAGTTTAAATGAGACGGGACAATGCCAGAAATAATCTGAAAAGAACATAAGAAGTTTTGGGAAGTCTCTATGTTTTAAGGGAAAAACCATTCTTTCATTAACATAACACAACACGATATTAAAGGATTATCACTTACCTCTGCCTCTTTTTTCTTTTTCATCATTTTTTGGGCCTCAAGTGCTTTTAGAGTACGATTTGATGCAGGCTTAGGAATCTGTATGATAGCTGCTTGGATTTTGGCCATTATTTCATTTTGTCGTCTTCTACTCAAGCGTTGCTGAATATTCCATACACATTAGTTTAGTTATTCAGTTCATCACAATAACAGGCAATGTTATACACTCATAGGTATGCATATATACAATTTTTTGACTGAAATTTTCAAAACTCAGCAATTAACCAATGGACTACATGTCACAACCATATAATGTTAGGAAGCAGGTGTCAATATGACTTATTTTTAAAAGTATGATATTAAGCACAACTTTGGAATCCCAACTTATGCCTATCAAATGTGTGTATTTTCATTCTGGGTGATGATATTAAAATGCTAATACAGGTATCTCAAATACAAAGAGGAGTATAATTCTTTCCCTTGTTCCACCTTGATGACATGCCCAAAAACGGGAAGAGAAAGTTCTGTCTCTGAAGACGGTCTGAAGAGAAAATTCAGTCTAGGAGATGGTCTCCAGGAGTGCTCCTGGGGAACCCAGAAGAAATGACAAGCTTCCCCAAAACTCAGTCACACTTAAACAATGAGTTCAGAGATTCTCTAAAATATTGAATTAACACTAAACTACGTGATATCGTTATTGGATCATCTCTTCTCCATGTAGGCAGTAATTATTTAAGAAGAATATAAGCAGGAGGGCATAATTGAAAGAAAAAAACAGTAAATCAGATAAAATATTTTAAAAATAATAGATTCAAGATGTAACAAGTGAAACTAATCATGACTTTACTACTAAAGCATTATATTGGAAGTGATAAGATCATTAGTTCCTACATCTAAAGATAAGAAACTTCAATTCACCAGTAAAAGTCAGAAATTGTAAATAATTCTAAAATTTTCTTTAATTCACTTTCCAAAATGTGATTTAATCTAACTGCAATGTGTTTATTTTTCTTTCGAAAGAAAACCAGGAAAACAAAGTCTCTCCCTTTTGTCCTATTTGCTTCCTATCACTTTTAACATAATTTATTTCAGAATATTTAATGGTGTCAGATTTTGTTTTTCCCAGCTTTCTTTGGAGACTTTCTGCATTAGACTTGGCACATCAAAGTTGGACAGGCTGGTTCCACATAAACTAGAGTCCCAGCACTCAGTCTCATCTTAAACACTACTTTAGGAGTGCCTTGTCTCCTTATCATGCAATGCCAAGGGCAAGCCTAATCCTGTATCCACTCTCTGGCAAGGAATGGGATCATAAGATCTTCTAGAGTGTCTCTGTCTTTCCCTCCCTCCTCATAAGGAGTTGACTACATTCAGAATATGTTAATTTCTTATCATTCTAAATATATGAGCTTAAAAAATTATTTACAGCACAATGAGAGAACTATAACTCTTTTGCCTGTAGTTTACACATTCCATATACCCAGCCATCTAAAATTCTCTTAAAAGTCTTTAATGATTCCTCACACCATTGTCTTCTCATGTCCTTAAAGGCAAAGGAGATCATTAAAGATTTTCAAAGAAACATGAGAAGCAGCGAGGAGTTAGTCAAAGCACTTCAAAAAGGGCTAGGAAGATGTTAGGAGATGTTTAAGGGGGTTGGAAAAGGAAGCAAGCAGAGAATCACCCATATTGCCAGTAGAGGAAAAATGGGGAAGGGTAGAAAGACCAAAAGGTTGCCAAAGAGTGAGAAGAGAGGGGAAAATGTCTGCTCTTGATGAAAAATCATTGCATCTCTTAGAGATGGCAATGGTCATAAGCCTTCGCTGGAGCAGCTAGTAGCAACCCCCCATCACAAAAGCATACGAAGCATTAATTTTTACCAGACAAATTAAAGAGATCTGCCACTCTAGAGAACAGCAGTTCTTATTCTGAGCCACAAGTAGAGGTGACAGTCAGCAAGATGGGGGATGGAGAAAAGGGAAAAGTGAGGGAGAGAAAGGTGAGAGCAGAGCAGAACATGAGTCACGGATAAGGAACACGCAACATGTGCTACATTAATGACTATGCAATGTGTACTATAGGCATACATCGCAAACAGTATACTATGCACTAGTTAGTTTCTGGAAAAATTGTTCTATAAAACCTTTTCGATATTAAAACATCTTTGTTCTTCCTTGAGTTTTTGAAAATTTTCAAGTTTCTCAAAATGCATTTGGACAAAATCTTCTTTCATGTGTTTATATTTTTCTTGAAACCTGTGTGTAACTCGCATCAGATTGAAATCAGTTTGACGTGGTATCAGGTTTCTAAGTCTCTAAACAAAGAAAGCATTTCAAAAGATTCCATTATTAGAGAATAAAGAGTATACCATCATTATAAGCACATATAAAATTTGTCTTCAAAATAAAATTTCAATGAATTACTACTGTTGATGGTTAGAAAAATTCAAGCGCCATACTAATCACTCATATCCTTAACTAATGTAAGGACAATAAAAAAACACAATTTGAATTCCTCCTAACAAAATAGTCTTATATATACTTTCATAGCTAAATTTTTTGCTCTAAGTTTGATTTTCAGTGAATCATACCTGAATTACTGGAAATACATTTTCATAAAAATAATTTTATAAACCTAATTTCAACACACATGAGACAATATAAGAAGCCAGATTCTTTTAATTACTTAAGCCACTTCCTAATAAAGTGAAGAAACATTAAAACTTCCAGGCCACTGGAAATGAGAGTGCAACAGTACAAGAAAATGAACTCTCAAAGATGATTACAAAGTGGGACACAGAGCAATGCGGCTAATGTATTTAACTAAAACTTTTATATCCAAAAGTAATCTCCTTAGGAACTGAAGACTTACCAAAAACAAAAAGAAACAGTACTATTGCTCAAACCGTTTTTGGTCCTTCTCTTCTAACATGGCCTCAGTAGATACTGACTCTTACCTGGAAGAATTCTTAAGGACCCTTGAGCTGACTTTAATCCCTTACCCACCCTCCTGCTCTTCTCACTGTTAAAAATGGGTGGGCCTCCATCTTCACAGTGGCAAGGAAAATGTAAAGGCCTTGAACATGCCACCTCTCCACTTCAACACGTATCATCTATATCTTCAACTTAATTCTTATTTTCCCCCCAAACCCAAGAAATACCCACTGAGATATCATACAGCCCCCTGGTAAGTGTGTGGCTACTAGAGTCAGACTGCCTAGGTTTGAGTTTCAGCTCTCCCACCTACATGAAGTTGGGCAAGTTACCTAATCTCTCTGCACCTCAGTTTCACCATCTGTAAAACGGGAATCATAAAAGTACCTATCTCATTGGACTGTTGTAGACATCAAGCAAGATGATATATATATAAAGCACCTGGAACGGGGCTTGGCATCTCACTATGTATATTCAGTAAATTTTACTCATTATTTATATTATTGTATAATAGACACCTGTTTCTTCTTCCATCTGGAATCAAAAAATAAATCTTAAAGTATCTTAATTCTTTCCTAAGATATCTCCTCCTTCATCAGGACCATTGATTCATTCTCCCTCTTTTCTTTCCCAGACGATCTCCTTCTACTTGGTCCTCACACTAGTCATCTCCTGCCACTGATTCTTTTTCTCAGCTGACAAGTTGTCCTAGTCTCTGTGTCCATAAAACAAACAAATGATCTCATATTTCCCTTGAGCTTCTCTCCCACTGCTACTGTTCTTATTTTCTTTTCTCCTTTGCCTTCGCATTTCTTGAAAGAGTAATCTATGTTCCCCTCTTTGTCATCTTCAATTTACTCCTCAACTCACTGCAATCCACATCACTCTACCAAAATATTTTTCTCTCCCTAAAATGTAAGCTCTATGAGGGTTGGGGTTTTTCGTGTGTTGTTCATTGTGCAAGTGCCTGACATAAAGTATGACCCCAACAGATATTTGTCCAATGAATGAATGATTGACTCTGGAAGGTCACCCATGGCCAACGTCAAATCCAATGGCCTCTTGTTTGGCCTCATCTACATAGCTCTTACAGCACTTTTACCGTTGATAGTTTTATACTTTACAAAGAATTGTCTTGTATATTGTCTTCTTGAAACTACAAAAAAGCCTAGCTCTGAGACAGGCAGAGATAATCATCCTTGTTTTTACATTTGGGAAAATTGAGACTGAGACTGTTCCAGGGACTAGCCCAAAGTTAATCAGCTTGCAAGTAAAGGAGGCAAGATGCAATATACTAAGTTATTCAGCTTTAAGCCATATCTAATTTCTAGCTCTCCATGGATACTGAGTTCATTATGCTACCAGGATCATAATGATGTACATTAAGAACAGACAAATCTGAAAGCGGATATGGCATTCACATTTACTATGTCATTGTTGCTTCATAAATTAAATATACAATTTTAATTATTTCCATTGCTATTTAGTGTGTTGCATCAGTGCAGCACTCCCCATTATCCTGGAGGCTTGGAAAAGTTAATGTGCTTCACTTACCATAAGAAAATAGCACAGGAACTAGAGAGAACTGTCAACTAAAAAGTTGTATAAATCAATCAAAATACATTTAATAAGTATTTGTAATGTTCAAAGCATTGTATTAGGCATATTAGTTGAATTCGAGGAACCAAAAATCTTGTGAGGGCATATGACAAATAAATAATGAAAGTTAACCAACAGTATCGGCAGCAGGAGGTTAGTACCAGAGAATGAGAATTATCTGTGCCCTAGGAGTTCCAGAGGAAGGATCCATGTGTACTGCGAAGGTTGCAGAGAAGCAGATTGAGAAAAGTTTGAGGGAAGAGGAGAGATGAAAAGGGTGAGCTTGAGTGGGAGAGAAGGAAGAGCAGGAAAATACAAGTTCTACTCAAGGACAGGCTGCCAACCAATGGAGAAGAAAGACTTTATGCTGAGGACTGTGAAGAAATAAAGTTAGAAAGACAGGTTGAGACCAATTAATGAAAGATCTTGAATGTCAGTCTAAATTGGAGACAGGATGTATGTAAAACAGATAGTTTCTGAGCAGAAGAAGAACCCAGTGAAAGTGGAATTTGGGGACAATTCATCTAGCAGTTGACTAACCGCTAGGAGAAAGCCTGAAGATTGGGAGACATGTTAGTAGGTTGCTGAAATAGTTCATAAGGAGATCTGAGCAGATATCCTAGGGGTAGAAATGGAAAGAGCGAAGCAGGCATAAATAGCACTGAGAATTAGAAACAAATAGAATTCAATAAGCTATGGTAATGTGGATAGGATGGAGGGAGACACCAAAATGGATAAATCAATTGAAAATATTAATAGAAAATAAAACCCAAGTATGACCAATAACATACATAAGGGACATATATACCCAATAGGGCTTCTTTGAGAATGCAACACCAGTGTCATTTCTCTTTACCAAGTTTTACATTGTGACATGGTTGTATTTCTTTATGTACTCACATCTCGGAAAGCCTCACTTTTCATGTTTTGAAGTCTTATATTTGTCAGAGGTTGCATTGTTTGCATTTCCAATCCAGTGAGTCCACTTTTCCTCTTTTTCTGAAGAACAGTGTACAATTGATATAAAAGTTTCGTTGCTGCCCCAGGCTTTTCAGTGATGATGTTGTGGGCCACATTCTGGTCAAACTGCACACCCAAAAGGTGAAGTGTTGGCTCCAAGCGAGAAAAATTATTAAGTTTGGAACTCGAAACCCTAAGCATTAAAGTATTTTACATAATTAGACATTGGCATTGAATTAAAAACAAACAACAAATATCAGAGGTATTATCATGGTCTAATATTATGAATTATCTCATGTTCTTTCAAATATATCATTCCTCTCTAAAACTACTCAATCATGTAAATACATTGAGCTTTTCTATTGTCCTGAACTCCATGTATTTATTACTCTTGAATGGCTAAACTGAAACTCATTAATTTTACACACTTTTCTGTTTAAATAGACACTAGAATTTCTACAAGAAGCCAATACAAAAACAGATAACTAGATGTTTTCTTGTAAATGGAAAAACTTAGCTATGGTTTTGAAAAATATTTCACTCAGAAGGCAAAATTGAAATTTAAATGACCATTTCTTTAAATTATACTATTACTAGAATCTTAAAATAGCCCTAAATGTTGCATTGACAACTCTAACAATGATCCTCTTGGGCACTGTCAGAAATATTTAATTAAATAATATTAGCTGTTCTATCAAATTAGTTATTAATCTTTACTTTACAGTTTATATTACTACGTCAAGAATCAGTAAAGCCTTTCTAATTGTAAGTTGTGTTTATTTTTGAATCACTTATTACCAAATTAGGCTCACACTTTAGAAGAAATTCATTAACTCATTCATTTATTAATATACTCTCTCAACTAACAAACATTTGTCAAATATGCATTATATACCAAAGATGTATTTATTTATTAAATTTAATAAATTTTAATAAATTCATTAAATTCTTACAAAGATAAACAAGATACAGTCCTTGCCCTTGAAGAGTTCATTGTGGGAAAAATAGATGAGTAAATGAACAGTGATAAATTGGAATAGAGGTCTCAAATGATCCAGGGCTGTTAATGAGCCTACGAATCCAACGACAGAAAGAAGACAAAGATGGTGGATGCATTTTCAACTATTGTGCCTCTCTGATCAAACGGAATGCAAACATCAGTTTTAACCACTGGTCTATTTTCCCCTTACTTTTAACTTCCGAAAATTCAGTGACATTCTTTAATAGAAAAATATACTGAATATACTTGAATACAAGTCAAAGTCCTAACCTCCCCTACCAATAAAAGGATATCTTAGAATAGAGATAGTTGCCATACATTTTGCAGAATTTCTAATATTATGGGGTTACTGACTCAATAACATCATTTTGGACTATAAAATTATTTGGGGGAAGATACAACGACCTTCAAGGACCCAAAATAAATTTTTAGCAGCTTATAGAGATCACTTAACACAAACTTTATATACTGTTCCTGGTACACTATTTCTGAAGAGATTGCTCTCAAGTAGTGGTTTTAAACCTTTTCTTTTTTTTTTTTTAAATCACGGATACCAGTGAGAATCTGATGAGAGTTATGGGAGTTTTTCCACAGGAAAGATAACACACATCCATGTGTATACACAAAATGTGTATACCATTTTTTGAGTGTTTGTGAACTTCCTGAAATCTAGCCTAAAAGTGCCTACTAACTGCAAGTTAAAAATCCATGCCTAAAAGGATGTGGGCCTGGGGAAATAAACAAATGATTTCTTCATATGAGTTTGAAGCCAGTATCGTGGGAAGGCCAATGAAAAAATAGTGATGCAATACCTTGAATTCCTTCTCCACTTAGGTGATGTAACTTACTATCCTATTTCCTTTATTTATTATTACTCTTTTAACTGAAATATTTGGTAAAGTATAGTTAGTATATCATACTACATCAATCAAACTTTGAATAAAATATTTTAAATTAATAAAAGAGAAACAGATCTTAGAAGGGAAGCGAAGAGATAATGAATGCTACAAAGAAATCTTATCAACAATAACAGTAAACACTGTTTTTAAGTCTTCTCATGTCCAGTTTTACAATTTGCTCCCCCAAAATGACTTTAAAGTTTGAGATAACAAACATTTGCCTAAAATGACTAGGGTAAAGCAGACCACGTTTTGAAGAGCATGACTGTGGAAGAAGATAGTCAGATCAATGACTTGTGCTTCCATTCCTTGGAAGGGCACCTGCCATCCCCTTCTGATCTTCCATCATGGCTACCCTTTCATGCCCTTCCTATCCTAGCAGTCTGTATGCCTAGTCCACTACACATATTTGGAAAGATATGCCCTGAAAGCCATTTGTCAGGGCTTCGGCCTGGGTCATAACCTTGGGCTGCAGAGATTAAGTAAAGATCATTCAGGAGGGAGAATCCAAAAACAAACACTACCCATTTCCAAATTTTATCAGAACTTAGCCTTGTACCCAATAAAAGTGAAGGGCACATCCCCTCCTCTTACTTGTATTATGTAGCCCCCAGAAGGCAGGGTAAGTCTGCTAATATCATGATTCTGTAACACAGTAGGCTTGAAAAGGGCTTTTATGGACTTGCTGAAGTATTCAGGTATAACAGTACTTCTCTCTGAAAGTTTTTAATACATACTTCAAATTTCCAACCAGTCAAAATGTGCGGAATATCACTGGTGTATAAATTGGTGGAAGTCCACTCTTGTTATAGCATATGCTCAATCAGTGTAACATGATAATCAACAGTTGTTTTTGAACACAGAGAAACCACTGGGACATCTTTGCTCTGGAGACAGAACATATGATGTAAATGATGACCCCAAGGGAATAAGGAATGTATTCTGGGAAAAGTCTTCTCCTTCTCTACTTGCAGTTCTTATTTGCCAAGGGATTACCTGACTCCTCGCCACCTTGCCATCTGGTAAGGGAATACATCTTACAAGGTCAGTAGAAGCTGCCGTCCCATGGATATCCATGCTCCTTTATTTTTTATTCTTTTAATTAATCTGCTCATTTTTCAGATCGACTAAAGATATTCTAAAACAAGGAATTCTTTCAGAGTTAGATGAGTTATTCTTAGGATTAAGTAATTTCCAAGGCAAATAACTCCAAGTTATTAGCAACATATATGCAGTTTGCTGTTTATATTTTAGACTAAAGAAGCTAAAAATATTAGACAAAATTCCCAAATCATGGGCTCTGGCACTAGACAGTTGCTTAAAAAATAGGCTTTAAGAAAGAAGGATCCTTTTCCAATCAAATACACTATTACCACGGTCATATCCACAGAGTGACTGGTCCTGCCTTCTTTAAAAGACCATGTGCCCTGGAAAAAATTGGGTTGTTCTAAGAACTAAAGATGGATAGGATTTGGTTGTGAGCATAAGTAGGTCCCTCTCCCCATGTTAAGGAATGCAGCAACTCTCAGTGGGAGAGAAAGTTAGTCCTTTGCAGTGGATGAAAAGCAGGGCTGTTACACGCAATGATACACACAGCACACACCTGTCTAAAGGTGGGACGAGGGTGTGAAATCTACCTATGCTCAGCTTGCCAAGTCCTATCCCTTGCATGGGGCTGCTTCATCCAGAAGGGGCTCAATTTTGTTTACACAAAGGCCTCTCTGTTCACTAAGACCTGTGTCTTCACCGTTGTGTCCATCCACTTGGGGTCTCTTTTTCCATTTCTCTCAAAGACCTTCTATGGTCCTGCTAACAAGATCCAATTTAGTACACTTGAAATACTGCATGCATGTTCTTGTCAGTATGATCCTTTAAGTTTTCTATGACTAAACAGGTGTACTTTCTGACATCATTCATGTATTCAATAGAGAAACACTGTGTATCTGCTACGGGCCAGGCACAATGCTTGGAGCACAAAGAATAAACACACTCTCCAACTTTCAGCAACTCTGCAATCTAGTTGAGGAGTAAACATTCATATATTCATTCATCAACCATTGTCTGGGCTCCTTCATGTGGCACGCACTCTGATAAGAACTGACATATAAATAAATAATTATAACAACGTGATAAGAAAAGGAAGGTCCCAACGGTTATTAGAACAAAGAGAAAAAGGGAACTAAATCTGCTAGGGAAGTCAAAGAAGAGTGTAGAGAAAGCATGGATTTTTAGCTGGATCTTAAGAATGAATAAGAGTTTCTCATGGTGGAAGTGAGGAAGAATATTAATATGTAAAGGTACAATGCATAACAAAAACACATGACATGTTTGTGGACCAGAGCAGCTTAGGTTAGGGCTCCAGGTTGGCAGAAAATGCAACTGGAAAGTTGGTTGAGGGCCACACTGGGAAGCTCTCTGTAAGACATGCCTTGAGAAAGACAGAGAAATTGGAATATCTGAAGTTTCTTAAGCTGATGGGGATACCACATCTAAAGATGTGGGTGTAGAGTTTTACCTTCCTACTGAGAAGTTTAAACAAAGTCTGTACATGTAGGATTTACCAGGATATGTAGCTATTCACTAACTCAAAAAAACACTTACAGAAAGCTAAATATGCATTAGGCCTGTGATAGCCCTAGAGATTCAAAGAAAAGCTCAATATCCCTGTCTCCAAGGTGTTTGAATGTGCAATATGAAATGTAAAAGAGACTCAAATAAAGAAACTGAAAATGAAGAGATCAGTGTTATAAGCAAATGTGCAAGATAAGTTTATAACTTTCATAAAGGAATAATCAACAACAACAAAGGACTGGAAATCTGGTCACACACAGGTCATCACAAATCGATCTGTGCATATGAAAACTCCTGAGAGCAAAAGGGAGGGCAGGGACCCTGATCGACCTACCCTGGAAATCTTATACTTTAGAGGTTGATACTAGCTTGTATTGGAGGGAAGGTAGGAAGTTCCCAAAGGGCTGGGAACTCAGGTGGAGGAGGCAGTTGGGGCTAAGCTGTGACGGAACTTACGGGCCTTGCCCTTGAGAAAGAGATGTGAGATTATGGGGTGTAGGGTATGAATTAGAATGTTATCCAGTACCCTAGAAGCTTAAGAAATTTTCTGAGATTAGCAAAAGAGGGGTTAAAATATAATTCCAATCCATGACTTATCTTGTCATACTATTATCACCTATACAACTAGCAAAATCTGGATTGTAAAAGAATTTCTCACCTCTAGGTTGGAAGTATCAAATTCTTTTGCCCAGAAGTCTTGCAACATAGGTACCACTTAATGGA